TATATATATATATATATACACACAATATTTCTATATAGAGTAACTCATTTTTCAGTAATTAAAGATACTGGAACCTGTAAGTGTAATGAACAAAATCTATTGCCTGGTAAAGCATAATATCAGGTTAAATGTAACTTTTACAAATTTTTCTGAAATAGAAATCCTTTTGAACTTAGATGCATAAAAAAATTATAACACTGAATATTAAGAAACAATAAAGAACAGTAATTCAACAGCAATGCTTTTTTAGTTTTGTAGATGTTTTCTAATGAATGGATTATCAAATATTTACCAAATAGTCCAAAGATTTTGGCTCCATTTTCCTCATTCTCTCCACATTCTAGCTCTTCTGAGGTAAATTCCATCAACAAGGAATTTAGACTATTATAAATTCCAAAACTCGAGAATGACCTTGACAACTAGAAAGGCCATTTAAGCATGAAAGCTTATAGGATGTCTCCACTGTACTCAAGATAATGAGATAAAGGACTTTTATCTTTGGTCTTTAAGCATTTGACTTAGTCATACCAGAAATGCATATTTATAGTCATAATGACCACATCCCCCAAATATTTAATAATGGTAACTTTTTCTGATTACAAAAGTAAGATGTACTCTTAAATATTTGCAGTTGGTAACTCAAAATGATATAGGCAGTTTGGAAAAAAGTTTGACAGTTTCTTATAAAGTTAAACATATACTTTCAATGTGACCCCACAGTCCCACTCCTAGATATTTACCCAAAAGAAATGAACACATGATACACAAAAATACTTGTACACAGTGTTTATAATAGCTTTATTTATGATGTCCAAAGAAGTGGAAACAACTTAAATGTCCACCAACTAGTGAATAGATAAGCACATTCTTGTGAGTCCCTACAATGAAATATCTATTGGTTAGCAATTATATTAATTACATACAACAACATGGATGAATCACCAAAGCGTAAGGGAACTTTTAGGGAGGTGGAAATGTTCTATTAGTTGATTGTGGTGGTGGTTACTTGATTATGTCAACACTTAATCAAATTAGACACTAAGCAGGTAAGTTTTACTTTATGTAAACTATACCAATAAACTTTATTCAAACAGAAAAAGGAAGACATGGCCAATGTATGCATTGTGGAAATACAGAAGGGCCCAAAGAATAATATGAAATTCATCTTTAATTTCACTCGCCGGATATTAACTATAATTTTAACATTTTATTGCATTTTCTGGATGTTTTTCTATGCATTTAATATGAACTTGTGTGACTGCATTTATAAAACTTAATATTTTAAGAATTTGCCCATACCATTAGTAATTCTTTATTTGGTCTCACTTTTAAGGCAACCTTATACATTTTTAATATTTGATTTTAGGATTTTTTGGGTGTTTACTTTTAAATAATATTGATGAACACTTTCATCTTCATTTTTCCTTTATTTGTTTATTTATTCTAAGAGACAGGGTCTTGCTCTGTCACCCAGGCTGGAGTGCAGTGACATGGTCATAGCTCACTGTAGGCTCCAACAGCTGGGTTTAAGGGATCATCCCACCTCAGCCTCCCAAGTAGCAAAGACAGGTGTATACCACCACACCCAGCTAATTTTTATTTTTATATTTTTATAGAGACAGTCTAGTTTTGTTGCCTAAGCTGATCTTGAACTCCTGTCCTCAAGCAATCCACCTGCTTTGACCTCCCACAGTGCTGGGACTACAGGCATGAGCCACTGCATCTGGCTCATCACTCATTTTTCAATGTGTTTCTTATGCTGAGAAACTGCTTTTAGGGCTGGGCACAGTGGCTCACACCTGTAATCCCACACTTTGGGAGGCTGAGGCAGGTGGATCATGAAGTCAGGAGATCAAGACCAACCTGGCCAACATGGTGAAACCCCATCTCTACTAAAAATACAGAAATTAGGCGAGCATAGTGATGGGCGCCTGAGTCCCAGCTACTCGGGAGGCTGAGACAGGAGATTCACTTGAACCCAGGAATGGAGGTTTCAGTGAGGAAGGCAGCTAGACAGGGATACTTGATACCTAATCCCAGAAATCATCATTTAAATGCTTACCTTGGTTCCAATCACAAATTCATTTTTATTCTACCGACTCCTTGATAAAATGTATATGTATCCATTGTCCCCTACTTTTTGTCTTTAAGGAAGCCATACATTTTAATTCAGACTTGTTAATCTATCATTTTGATGATGATGTAGCTGATTATTATTCTTTACGCAGGACCTTCACTGTCAGCAAGACTGACAGTTAGTGGCTTGTGGTGTTGATGATTTGTGTATCACTATTTACTTTCGCTTGTGTGTGACCCAGTTGCCCAGCAGTCTGCAAAGAGAGACACTTTGAAAGGGTTGAAAAGCAGGCTGTGGTTCCAGGCAAAGGTCCTTCCACATGCTCTCTGTGGCTCCTAGCCAGCTATTTGGTGCACATCTTGCTAGTGCACTTTTTCATAGAGGGCGTCTGTCATGTCCGCAGTATCTAGCTGCCAAGGTCACTGCTGTTAACCCTGAAATAAGAGTTTGGGTATGTACATTTCAAAACAGGAAATTGCAGAGGAAAGACAGAAAGAGAGCAACTAAATATCTGTCACTAGAACCATAGAGAAGAAATTAGAAGTTAGAGCAAAGGTGGAGCAAAGGGTTTCTAAGGGGACCTTGAGAAGAAACAATGAACAGGTGAGAACAAAAGCAGTAATGTCTCAGCCAGTCATTAAATAAATTTACATTCCATCCACAAGCACAGATGATGGAAGTAAGGGTACCGTGAATGCTGAATAGAAGTTCACCAAACACTTCAGTTAGCTGATGTGCTAAAAGAAAATATGTAATTGTTTTGGACCATTTGGGTGATGCTTTCCAAGGCAAGAACTTTGTTTTTATTCTGACTTTTAATAACTCCCCTGGATTCTAAAAATTTCTGGGAATTTTAGGGAATAAAGAAGGAAACTTAAATCTGCCATAACTCTACCACTCAAAGACATAATTAGTAATATTTTGGAATATTTTTATTCTTTTACAAGTTTCAAATCATTAACCCTGTGTGTGGTTTTGAATTCTACGCTTTTCATATAATAGTATACAGTGTGATACTTTCCATATTATTAATGTTATTAAAAACATAATTTCATTGGCAGCATGGTATTTCTCTGTGTATATTGCCAGCATGAATTGAATAATTTCACTGCTATTGGACATTTGTTATCAATTACCAATAATATAAACAAGACTGTCCTACATATCTATATAGCATACATTTTTATGTTCATCACTTTATTACTTTAATACATTCAGGAATGAAAGAGTATGACTATTTCTATGTAAGGACATGCCATCTTACAGAAAGATCATCTCCCGAGATGTTACACACCACTAGCAGTGGATGAGTACCCATTCATTCACCACACCTTAGCCAACTTCTTATGTCACTGTTTTTAAAGGGGGGAGCAAACAGTATGTTTGTGGTGTTTCGTAAAAGAGAATTATTTAAATTATACAGAAACTAAAAATTCAGCCTAAGACTTTAGCTTTAAAAATTGTGCAAGTCTAAAAATCTTAAGCCCCTAATAAACTGTTAATCATAATGCTTTAAAAAAAAAGCACTCAGAATTGTATATAAATTTAACTTGAACAGCCTCTGCACTGTAAACTTTCTTTTCAGAATAAAGGATTGTGATAAAATATTTTTTAAAATCTTTATTTTTAAAAGTAGGCCTCTACCTGTCATATTTTAAACTTCCAACAATATTTTCCACTTTTGTAGGAAGCGTGCTTGTAATTTTGTGGCATAATTTTGGAATAGCTCTCCATAACCAGGTCACACTAATTTTTAATTTCTTCTTCCTCCATGATATTTCAGTATATCATTTATATATTCAGTAAGAATAATATTCTCAAGTGATTGGCTAATCATTTCAATTCAGCTTACTAAGGTCAATGCAAAGGTAAAGAAAACCCCCAGCTAAAACTATATAAAACCCCTCAATGGCATCTTTTTTACTATCTAAACTTTGTAGTTAAAAAAATTTGCAGCAAGATGCTTTCATAAGTCATGTAAATCCCATAATGGTGTAGTTAGCAGAGACCTTAGAAATCAGCAAATCCATCCTTTCATTTGATAGGTGAGGACATGGAACTGACATTGGTGCAGGCACATTTTGGGGTCACCCATCTGGACAGTGTCCTTTCACCCTGAATTCTTGGCTGTGCAGCTGGTTGCTCCTCAGGCCGCACCACTCAACCCCAGTCATTGGAGAACTGAAGCATTGAGAACCATGTCCTCAATTCATAGCCTTTGTCTCTTCTAAGAATTGTGTGTAAGAATAAAATTCCTGCTGGTTCTTTGATTATCGTTTCTAACTCCTACTTTGCTCAATTTGTGGTAAGGACTGACAAATTGATAAGCCACATAAATCAATTCTCTTTCAAGAACCCAGAGTAAGCTAAGCCATTTGTTACACAGAAGCTGTATGTTGTCTCACATTCCAAATGAGCTAAACTTTGCCTTTAGCAGGCTGGTCTTAAAAATAAATACCTGTGGAAGAAACGTGATTACATGGAAACACAGCATTATTCATCTAAAGTATTCTTTGGCTTTTTGTTTTTCGTTCCAGATATCTGTATGCCCTTGGACAGAAGGTTTGGAAAAGATGGAAAAAACGTTACTTTGTTCTAGTTCAGGTTAGTCATTTTTTTCCTATTAAATAATCATTCTAAGATAGCAATTCTCAAAATTCGTTTATATGGGTTATATCTATCAACATTTACCATTTCAGAAATTAAAATATGTTTAAGGCAGTTTAAATAAAAGCAGTACATTCATTACATGCTAATGCTAAATGTAACTGCTTTATATTTGTGTAAAATAACTGTTCTCCAAGCCAAACATCTTAGTGAAATAAGTGGCATTGTTTTATGCCTTTGCACTCTTTACTCTCTGGCTTAATAGAACGTAACTGTATTCTTGCATCAGCTTCTGCATTCAATTTGTTGTAATATCACATAAAATGTAGCCTTTTAAAAACTCAACTTTATACTCATGGGAAAAGAAGTATGAAAAAGGGGAATAACTTCTGAATATTCTTATAAAGATAATTTTGACCTTATAGACCCTCTGGAAAGATCTTGGAGATCTCTGAGATTCCAAGACTATACCCTGAGAACCACTGCATCATTCTATATTTTATATATAAAGCATAATACTTATAATCACTCATTTTAATATAAATATTTATACTAACTGGCATATTTAATGCAAATACACTGCCATTTAATTCAAATATGCCAAATTTAATACAAATAAGCCAACAAATCACCTGTTCACATGAATATGTTTTTAAGTCAACTTGACTGGTGTATATTTATAGATGATTGGATTCTGAACATAGATTATTAGAACATTCAGTTTGGCTGACTCCTCTTTTGTAATCGTGGATAACCTTTGCTCATAGGCTATACTAATTAAGTTAAATTTATATTAAAGAATACCTTTCTAAATAAATGTCATTCCAGTCCATGAGAAATCCAAGCTATTTTGTTCCCAATATATGAAAAGAGTATCGCTCTTGGAATTTTTAACATAAAACATTCTGTAAAATCTCATTGATTCCTATATACCCATTAAACAAGCTTAACTGGGCTAGTTCAGAATGACATGGTAAAATGCCAAGGAAGGAAAATTATCATTTGCTGGCTTCCAGCGATACTTACAGCCATCCATCAATTGCTGGATAAAATTACATTATTGATATCCCATGTTAGCCTGGTAACTCCATGAAAAGTGTGAAAACTCAGTGAAAAGTAGTTTTATCTACATGGCAAACAGTCAGTCTGTTTTTTTTTTTTTTTCTGACTAAAAGATAACTACTTCTTATGTGATTAGAACTAATATTTGATCCACTTTAGTAAAAGATACATACACATGCACACACAGTTAATTTTTTGATATAGAGCCCAAGCATTTGCTTTGAAAAAGTCACCTGTTTGGGGCTGTGAGTGATCTATTTTTCAAAAACCTTAAGGCATCTTCTACAGTTTCCAGGTTTAGTTTTTTACATTGGTGCATGAATTTAAATGCATTTCGTAAGCAAGTTTAGTAGATATTTCTGGACATTTATTTATATGTTATGGACATATCTCGTCCATATCTAATTTGACAAGGTTGTGTTAGTGATTTTTCTGTATCAACTTTTTCTAAAACATTCAGCTAATTTTTCATAGAAACAGCAGCTTTTCCGTTATTTTATGCGTTTACGTAAAATCTCATTTAACTACATAATTTCAGTAGCTAATGTTAGCATAAACTAGTTTGGGAACAAACTCAGCTAACTTAGTAAGCATAGATCTTAACTGGTGGAAATAGGTATGAAAGAACATGGGAATGTAACCCAATAACTAGAAATGTTCAGCATATCATTTGCATTAGTCACTGTTTTTTTTTAAAGTGTTTTTAACTAATTGTTTTAATATGAAAGTTAGGCTTTTGTAGATCAGTCATAAGAGGTCAAATGATCACCTCATGCTTTTGACTAGGTAAGGTTCAAAGTAATCCTTTGCTCCTTATCTTGCTTTCTAGCACATGATCATAAGAATCAGAAGTTATAGGACAAACGTGTATACTTTGATTATTACTCATAAGAGAGCTTAGAAATGAAGAAAGGAATTGTAATACTTTGAGATTCTTAATTGATATGCTTTTGAGGGAATATTAGCCATGTCTTTGGGGAGCTAAAATTTTTCTCAATGACAAAAATATGCTTTACATTTTAAAGGCAAAATCTAACATAAATCAAAGTAGGCAAACTCATATGTTTCATAATTTAAATTTTTAAAAATACCACCAAACTGAATTTGAATTTGAATTTATTCTACCTGAGGTGTCTTCTTAAAATTTGAAGTCATATTTAAGCATTACATAATTAGTTTATACTCATATATGTGAATATATCCACATGCATTCCTGCAGAGAATTCCAAGCCCAAATTTACTGAGAATCCATGCCAGTATTCTGAGAAGTTTTAAACGCAATTGAATCTTCCATTCAATTTGGAATGTAATGAGAAGGCAAATTGAAGGCACACACTTCAAAATCAAGATGGATATGTATGGAGATTCAATGAGAATGACCCATTGGGAGGAACTGGGTAGTTTTATTAGTAGTTTTAAAGGCAGCTCTGATTCTACCCACACACAGCTTGTAGGTCCATACCTGCAGGCTGCATTATTGAAAGGCGAAGGAATCGTTTTCATAAGGAGGACAGTATACCCCTGCTGTGTCTGCCGCTGCCATCGGCAGAATGGTGCTCTGTTGATAATGTGAATCTCATCACCACTTGTGAGTGTGTATTATATGAGTGATATCGCTGGAAATCCAACCATCAGCTCAAGAATTTGTACTCATAAAAATTGATTGAGAGTTAGGTTTGGCCAGCTGTAAAGTCATTGTTCAAAATGAACACTCAAGGAGCCACTGAGGTGAAAAGACTTTTCAAAGACTCTCATATAAACATTTAAATTGGAGCCAAAAGGTGGGAAAATAAATGATTTGTTAATATTGAGTGTTTACTTGGCTTCTAAGTAAGATCATTTTGGTCTCTGTTTATATTCTGATGCCAATGTGGTTGTAGTAATAAGTAGATCTTAATGCTTTCTAAGAGGCTGCATTTTTTTAATGAAGGTAAATTTTGGTTCAAGCCAAATTGAAAGAACAGTGATTTTGAAGAATATACTTGAAATAATACCAGAATGAAACTTGTATTTGTTTGTTACTAATTTTTATTGTGCTTGTTTAGTGTTTTAATATTAGATTTGAAGGATATCATTGGCGTAAAATACTTATGATACTTTAATATATTGTAGTTTACTATAATAAAATAATTTAATACCTTTAAAACTCGGTATTTGAGATTTGAGCAAATGGATTATTACTTCATTCTATATTCTACTAATTCCTATTCAAAAATGTATGTCCCAGGTATTGCATATTCTGTAGTAAATAAAAAATTCTGAAGCACTCCCCTATTAATATAATTATTGCTATATTTAATCTAATAATCATTCAGCAATTACTGTATGGCAAGCATTTATGTAAAACATTTTTAATACTTTATCTTATCAGAATAAGCCTATGAGGATAGGTATTATTATTATGCCCATTGTACAGATAAGAAAATAATTCAGGGAGAGGTTATGGAACTTAGGATATTGCAGTTTAGTAAGTGGTAGAGTCAAGTTAATCCAGTTCTGTCAAACTTATATTTCCTGTGCCATACTGCTATGATTACATTGATGCACATAACTACAGTTGATCTGAAGACAAACAGATATGTGAATAATCATATCTGTTTGGATCATTCATTTCATGAGGTACAAAACAGTGTTACTCTATTAGAAAAATGGCCAGGGAGTGATGGCATAATGAGTCCTGTGCTCATGAGGCCACTGACTGCATGACATCATTGGAAACCGAGTAGATGTCTGTGTTGTTTTGGCCCTGTATCAAAGTGTTCACTGCTTGTTGTTGATGTGTCAGAATCATGACTTGAAGTTGCTACAAACAACAGCAGGCTATCAAGACATAATGTTAATTACGTATCAGCTGAGTTGGCACAGGATGTAAACAGTCAGCCATGCCACAGAGTGATCCATACCTGCTGCAGATGTATGAGAAGCACTCTTGCTAGTGAGATGTCATCAAGAGCTGCTTTCAATGTAAAGTGGCTGCCCACCCTATTGATTTCTGAAATATTCAGCACACATGGGGACCCACTACAACAGACTCCTCTCACTTACTTGAGAATGAAACTACTGCCTGAAGAACACAAAGTTCAGTTATACACTCTAGGTTTAGTCTGGGACTCTTAACTAGTGTTTGCTTATGACAGTAAGATAAAGTGAAGTGAACAGACACGTTGTTGCCAAATCAAGAATATCATGGCATAAGACTTTATAGCTTTATGCTTTAAGTTGGATTAAAATTTACAAACCCAGGACATGCTCAGTGCAGAACAAAAATCAAACCATACAATGTTTATGGTAGAAAATGAGAGGCCCCTTCGACATTCCTGCCAGCACTGCCATGTTATTCTAGTATCCTTTGCAAAAGCAGCCAAGTAGCCATTGCTAACTAATAGTGTGGCCTTCCAAATTTGTTTGGAAGGAGTTAGGCAGCTTTAGTTTTTCATTATGTGAAACACACATCCATTCATTCCTAATGAAATCATTTCATATATTTTTATTTTATTAGTTGCTTTGTTTCTCCTTTAAAAATATATCCGTGAGAAGTTACCATATCAAGAATCTACTTTAGGCCAGGTACAGTGGCTCCTACCTGTAATCCCAGCCTGTTGGGAGGCTGAAGTAGGAGACTCACTTGAGGCCAGGAGTTCAAGCCTGCAGTAGGCCATGATTGCACCATTACATTCTAGCCTATGGGGTAACAGAGCAAAACCCCATCTCAAAAAAAGGATTTATTTTAACTGAATAAATAACTGGATTCTATACTGTAAATTTACATAATTTATGTAACAGTCCCCCTTATTAAAACATTTAAATTTATTAAACAATGCCACTTTGAATGTGGTTTTTATTGCAGAGGAGAAAAAACAATGCCACCATCAATATATGTCTAATTCTTGTATATTAATCTTTGTATATATGTGGGAATATTCCTATAGAAATGA